CAGTCAGAGCTACTGAAAAAGTTGACAGCTACATAGGTAGAGAAACAATTTGTGAGTTATGGTTGATCCGAGTGCTCCGGCTGTGGTAGTTGGAGGATGAACGCTTGAGATCGTTTTATCAGAAGTGATTAAGAATATCAAAACTATCAGTCCTGAAAGCATATTGATATAATAAATTAAGTTGCTGCGAATTAGAGGCATTGCTGCTGTTGTCGAACTGTCATCATCCATATTGCTTTTGAGAATCTTTGCTCAGACGCCTTAAAGATGCATGAAGAAGTTTTTGGCTTTTTAACGATTGTAATATCAGAAAATTCGATGTTTTTTGTTTGACCTTATACACGGTCTTTCGTTTTTTGCTCGCATTTGCTAGAATGTGGTGTTTTTTCCTTGCTGGATTTAGCAGGGAAATTTTTTCTGTTATTATGTGCAACTGGCCCCGTTTTCAGGGCCCGAGTGTAAAGCGGTTGTTTTTTCGCGTGAAAAAATCGAAGCCATGGATAACAGATTTGACGATGAACTTCAGGTGAATGATTTTTTTATCTTCGAATTGTTTCGAAAGATTGCTTGAAATTAGTAAGTGCTGCCAGCCTACTAGCAAGTACTTGAGAAAATTTCATGCATGCTCAGGTACTTGCATCGTTTCCACTTTCATCTTGTAATATTTGCAGCGTCACTGTCATGCGGACATTGACAAATATTGTCACGCGGAGGAGGGCGAAAGGGTTTTGGAGTGCTTGAAGAATATGAAAATTTTACGCTCCTTGTCACCAAAATGCCAGAAAGTAAGTGCCTTTGATGAAGTCAGCTTGCATTTTCAAAAAGTAAAATGGTATTTTTTGTACTTATCAGCGAAAAATAACACAGATTGTGTTGGAACGTATGCGTGAACAAGCAAAAGATGTGCGTTTGAACGTGGGCCTCCTGCAAGCATGCCGAGAAGAAGCCGAGAAGTAGTAAGTGTTCGCTTTTATTATTGCATTTCACGATTGGTCGAAGTAGAAGCCATTCACTGAAGGAAACATGCGTCGTATAAGAGAAAACAGAGAGGAGTTTGTTTATTTTGATTATAACAAGGCGTAGCATTCTCGGCTAATGCACTGCGCAGGGGCGAAAAATGATTCTTTTTCTTTCCATTGTGAATAATTTTTTGCGTTTTATGTCCTGCATCGCGCAATACTGGGGCCACTCATTTTTATTTCAGTCGACTTCAGAGTGTGGCCGTCGCACCCATTTGTTTTGTTGCCTAATTTTGAATCCTGCCGAACTGTTTTGGGGATTTCATTTATCGGTTTTGGGTGCTACTAACAACCTCGACTTCTCCGACCTCCAACTTCCAGTCTTCCCGGAGCTCAGCGTAGTCGAAAAATGTGTGCAATCAAAACTTTGATCCCTCATTCATCCGACTTCCAACAAATTCTTAGTTTCATTGGGTTGGGCGCGGCCATAAATTCGTCTTCTCTATTACCAGCTTCCAGCTTTCCAAAAAATACTTGAGCAGCTCTGAATTGATTGAATTGTTTAAGTTCATTTGGTCGACTAGGAGTAGCTTTACTTGCCACTGCATTAAGCCTGCTGGCATTTCAGAAATCGGTTTTTTGCTTTCGTAGGAATCGAAAGTTTCTCGAATTTTTGAAAGCTTTTTTTTTTCAGTTGTCCCGATGATTATAAGAAAATAAACGATCCACAGTACGCGAAGAAAACACTGGAAGGGGTTTTTGTTGTATGTCTGCGCACACAGTACGCCAATCCTCGGAAATCGATTCATCTGAAATCGAGCTGCAAAGACGAGGTTCTTATCCTCAGCACTATATAAAAATTCACTGATCCGTTTACACTATCACCTTTTTTGGTACTTTTTTTATAATATCTTGCATTCGCACTAATGCTGGTTACTTTTTCTTTGGTTTGCTCTGACCGAAGCTGCATCACTTAGCACTTAGGCCTGCCGCTGCTCGTTTTTTCGTTTTCTTCCTCATCATCATTCCTGGCCCTTGTCATTAGCGCCTAGAGCACTTTGTTCTTAAGGTACTGCTAGTAATTGTATATTCATGTTACTAAGCTTTTTTTGTGGTATTACATAGTAGTTCTTAGTAAACTATTACATACTTTTTTAAAAAAATAATATTGCGCGACGTAATACTGACATCGAACAAACAACATGTACTAAATTGAAGCTTTTGGTTTGATCCTGAAATGCTGGGTCTGACATGTATAAGCATCTCACTAACACCACTAACGTAGGATTCCCATTATCGGTTATGCAGACGATCTTGCTGGACTACAAAAATAGTACACGTGCGATCAGAATATAGATCTACCTTAGAGGGATAA